TTCCTTGCTCCCTCTTCGTCACTCGCTCCCTCCTTTCCCATCCCTCGTTCCTTCTCCTCCCGTCCCTCGCTCCCTCCCCGTCCCTCGCTCGCTCCCTCCCCATACCTCTCTCGCTCACCATCACTCAATCCCTCGCCATCCCTCGCTCCCTCCCCCTCATTCCCTCCCTTCCCGTCCAAGAATCCCTCCCTCCCTCACTCTTCGCCCCTCGCTCCCTCCATCTCCATCCCTTACTCCTTCCCTCCCTGTCCTTCTCTCCGTCCCTCACTCTCTCCCTCTCTCACCATACTTTGCTCCCTCGCTCCATTCCTCATCCACTTCCCGTCCCTCATGACATGCCTCCCCGTCCCTCATTGCCTACCTTCCTCCCTCTCCGTCCCTCCCTCCCTCCCTTTTTCCATCTCTTGCTCACTCGCTCTGTCCCTCACTCACTTGCTCCCTCACTCTCTCCCCATCCCTCACTCGCTCTCTACCTCCCTGCCCCTCGCTCCCTCCCCGCCCCTCACTCCCTCACTCCCTTACTCCCTCCCCATCTGTCACTCCGTCTCTACGTCCCTGTCACTCACTTCCTCCCCGTCCCTCGCCCCCTCGCTCACTCCCTCCCCATCCCTCATTCCCTCGTCATCCCTCACTCCCTCCCACACGTCCCTCGATCCCTCTCCATCCCTCCCGCCCCGTCTCTCCTTCCCTCGCTACCTCCCTGTCCCTTGCTCCGTCCCTCGCTCCCTCCCCATCCCTCTCTCTCTCCCTCACTCTCTCACTCTGTTCCTCGCTCCCTCGCTCCGCCCCTCGCTCACTGGCTTACTCACTTCTTCCCTGTCCCTCGCTCCCTCTCTCCCAGTCCCTCGCTTCCTCACTCCATCCCCGTCCCTCGCTCCCTCTCTGTCCCTCACTCCCTCCCCGTCCCTCTCTCCCTCCCCGTCCCTTGCTCTCTACCGCCCCGTACTTCGTTCCCTCCCTCCCTCACTCTCCGTCCCTCGCTCCCTCCATCTCCATCCCTCACTCCTTCCCTCCCCGTCCTTCTCTCCGTCCCTCTACATCCTTCGCTCTCTCCCTCCATGTCCCTTTCTCCTTCCCTCCCCGTCCCTCTCTCCCTCCCTCCCTCGCCGTACTTTGCTCCCTCATTCTGTCCCTCGCTCACTACCCATCCCTCGCTCCCTCCCTCCCCATCCCTTTCTCCCTCCCTCCCCGTCCCTCACTCTCTCCCTCCCTCACCATACTTTGCTCCCTTGCTCCATTCCTTACCCACTTCCCGTCCCTCGCGACATGCCTCCCCGTCCCTCATTCCCTTCCTCCCTCACTCTCCGTCCCTCGCTCCCTCCGTCCCTTTTTCCATCTCTCGCTCACTCGCTCTGTCCCTCACTCACTTGCTCACTCACTCTCTCCTCATTCCTCACTCCCTCTCTTCCTCTCTGTCAGTCGCTCCCTCCCCATCTCTTGCTCCCTCACTCGCTTCCTCCCCATCCCTCATTCCCTCGTCATCCCTCACTCCCTCCATCCCTGTCCCTTGCTCCCTCTCTCCCAGTCCCTCGCTTCCTCACTCCATCCACGTCCCTCGCCCCCTCCCCGTCCCTCACTCCCACCATGTCCCTCACTGCCTGTCCCTCCCAGTCCATGTCCCTCCTCCCTCCTCCCTGTCGCCATCCCTGTCCCATGCTCCCTCTCCTTCCCTCCCTCACTCCCTCGTTTCCCGTCGATTGCTCCCTCGCTCCCCATCGCTCCCACCTCGTCCCTCGCTCACACATTCCCTCCCCGTCATTCCCTCCTGGTGCCTCAAGCCTTCCCCGTCCGACGCTCCCTCCGTCCCTCACTACCTCACTCCCTCCCTCCCTGCCCCTTGCTCACTCCTCATCCCTCGCTCCCTCCCTCCCCATCCTTCGCTCCCTCCCTCCCCAATCCTCTCTCCCTCGCTCTGACCATCGCGCTCTCACTCCATCCCTCGCTCACTCACTTCCTTGCACCCTCCCCATCACTCGCTCCATTGCTCTCCCTCTCCCTCCCTCTCACTCCATCCACGTCCCTCGCTCCCTCTGTTCCTCTTCTCGTTCCCTCCCTCTCTCCCTCCCCATCCCTTGCTCCCTCCCCACCTCTCGCTCCCTCTGTCCCTCTCTCTCGTTCCCTCCCTCCCTCTGCATCCCTCGCTGTGTCCCTGTCCCTCGCTCCCTCGCTGTCCCTAACTCCCTCGCTCCCTCCCTATCCCTCGCTCCCACCCCGTCCCTCGCTCCCTCCACATCCCTCAATCCCTCACTTGCTCCCTCCCCATCCCTCGCTCCCTCCCCGTCCCTCGATCCCTCGCTCCATCCCTCACTCCCTCGCTCCGTCTCTCGCTCACTCGTTCCGTCCCTCGCTCACTCGCTCCCTTATTCCCTCGATATCCCTTACTCCCTCGCTTCCACCTC